CAACGCACAGGGAAGTATTTTGTTAAGATGCTAATGGTGCAGTTACAGTGGCCATAGGCACGTCCGCGGAGTTTGGTTCCATAGGAGTAGTATCGGTTCCTATTGATACGGAAGTATTGATCGGTACGGCCGAGACAGCAGGAATTGTTTTTTCTGTGACGGCAGCGGTGGCATCAGTTCCAGCGGTTACAAATGATGCAGCAGTTGGTTTGGCCGCGGTAGCAGAAGTCATCATGCGGGAGCAGCAGTAGCAGGAACATTGCTGGTAGAAGACATGTCCGATGTCACATGTGCAGTGGCACTTATTTTTGCAGCGGTTCCCGAATTTTCGTTTTTGCTTGTAGTACGTGTTGAGCGCATATTTCTTGTAAAGGGTTGTGGGATATACAACCCCACACCTGAATGCTGTTAAAAGCTACTTGTACTTGGATATTCCCTTGTAGGATTGTTCCACTAAACTCCGATTTTTTATTTTTCTTCTTTCTTTCTTTCTCTTTCGTCTTCTTTGTTGTCGATCCGGAAATGGAATGGCCGACCATTTTATTACAGGGTACACAGTATGTTTTAATTTATATATTCAGAATACTTATTGGGCATCGGGTGACCCAGATGACTTGGTACTAAAAGTAATGTTTATAATTTTGTCGGTGGTTTATTTCAGTGATTTTTAAGAGATTTAAAAAAAATTTTTTTGGGCAAATGTAATTAAAATGAAGTGCGAAATTGGTTAGCACAAACATGTGCTACAAAATTGACTGCATTTTTTTCTCTACGCTTCGTCTTCATATTCTTTGTTTACTTTTCAAAGAAAATAAAATGCCGCCGAAATTACAAACGACAGCCAGAAAATTACTTCTTTCTTTTGCTTCATCTTGTGCAGTTGCATCATGCTACTCAATTGTATTTACATCATTGAGCGGAACGTACGCAAAGTACCCATTCTGAAGGCCGGTCCACATAGATCTTTCGCGTTGGCTTTGGCGTTGGCGTTGGTTTGACAGAACGCACGTTAAAAGTATGCTTGCTACAATGAACGCTTGGCGGCGAATGCTTGGGCCACTAAATTAACATACTAACAACAGATAAATTAATATTTCATATCAATAATTGCATTAAAAACGATATTTCTTGCCCGCACTTGATTAAAAAGGGAAAATATTTCACACAATTTTATTTATTTGCAACAGCTGACGAGCAAGGCACGCGAAAGGATTTTTGCTTTGTGTTGGCGTGATCGTTGCCGAATTTTGGCTATGTGGACGGCTGCATTTGAATTCATGTATTCATAGTCAGCTGTTGAAGCGATTCCAACGCCAACGCAATGCCAAAGTTTTATGTGGACGGGCCTTGACGGGCCACAAGATCATCGACAAAAATAACATCGGCGCGTATTCATAGTCCAGCAACTAAGTCGAAACTAACAAAGTTGCAACTTAAATTTAAGTACCAACTCTTGCCTCTATTCGTAGTCGCATTTCAGACTTCTACTAAGTAGTTTCGACTTAGTTTACGATATAGCAAAACGAGTGTGAAAATATATCGATTTTTCTTTACGATATGTTGGAAAAATTACATTTTTATTAAATAATGTCAAGTTTGATCATCCGTTTATGTAATTTTTATTCTCATTGCATGATTATGCAAAAGAATAAGGTATCATTTTCTTGTTAAGTGTGTGAAATAGCCACAACAACCGCAGTTATGTGAAGTCGATGTTTATCGAAAGCATGCTGTAGTACAAATAGTAGATATCTAAATGTGATGCACAAATTTACTTTAAAAGAACTAGCGTGAAACTGACTTTATTATTTGAGAATTTATATAAATTATTCCAATTATAAAACTGTGATGTAGCTTTATTCGAATTGTAATACGCATTTAATTTCATCTTCCGATTAAAATGGATCGATCTTTGTAAATTTTAATGAGAGATTATTCAATATTATCAAAATCACCCTCAACCAACTTAATTTTGGGAAAATTTTCCAATACGGAACCCGGCTTTAAAAAAAAACAAAAATGAGGGGGTTAAGAGCGGCTTTTTGTGATTGTGGGAAAATTTTCCAATACGGAACCCGGCTTAAAAAAAAAAACAAAACTGAGGGGGTTAAGAGCGGCTTTTTTATGATTGTAAATCTGAAAACCCCACCCTCCGGAGGCTTATAGATTTTATGAAAATTTAATTTTAAGTTGCAAAAAATGTCAACTTTAACCTCACTTTTTGCTTTGTAAACCAATTGTATAACAATGTCGGTGCTGCCACACAACAACAAATGCCAAAAAAAAAAGCACTGAAAACGTGAAACAACAAAAACGGGCATTGTAATTAACTTTTTTTTTTAATTAAATATCGATGTATTGATAAAAAAAAAGTGATTCAGTCTAAAATCGAGAGATTTTGTAATAAAAAATGTTAACTTAGATATTTATCGAAGTATTGATTTTTATGGGAA